CGTTATTGTTAAACTTAATTTACTTCTTTAAATAAAAATTCTTTATTCTATAGCTGTTTTACCTAAGACGGTTTATGCGCCTTAGTCACAGGGTTTAGCGGTTCTAAAAACTTTGGTCTAACAAGCCATAATAGAAGGATAAATCAAACTGGTCCAAAATTTTACTTCTTTGTTGAAAAAGCTTTTCTGTTTTTCTGTGTTGTTCTAATTTTGTCAAATGTTTGTTCAAAAAAATGATGACAGGTAATATCAAAGTGGAACAAAATATGGTTTAAATAAAGTTTAAAGAGTAAAAATGCTCCAACAGCAACCTCTTTGAATAAACAGCTCTTCAACTCGGTTACGCTAAATATGGTTCAAAAAAAATTTAAACAAAGAAACTGACAAAAGTGTTTTAAAAAAAATATTATAACGATTATTTGGTGATTTTTGCCAAAAAAAATCGCCAACAAATAACAGAAATATTTGCAGAAAAAAAATATGAAATTTTCAGTTGTCATAATATATGATCACTTTTATTTCTCATTTTAACGTCTGCAAGTCAGAGTTTCATAAAAAAAAAAAATAACCACTTTTATTTGATGTTTCTGTTCCTTTAACAGGAAATAACCTTTGAACGATGTGTATTAACAACAGCAGTTTTTGACAACATCCTGAATCGCTTAACATCTGTAAAGAACTTCAAGTGGATTCACTGCATAGTCGACGGAACAACAAACAGTGGAGAACAACTAATCCTTCGATTTGTCGATATTATAGAGCAAAATAGTTGCGCTAAACATAACTCCTATGTCCTTTTCACAGACAGTATCAACCCAAAAATTCTATCCACATTTTTAGAGGTTAGTCAATCGGTCGACCAATTAGTTTTTGCTTGCGCTTTTTCAGTACAATATAGCCAAAAAGTATAAATTATCTCTGGTTCTTTTTGACATAATAAATCTGAAGTTTGCAAACATCGTTTAATCACCATTTCCTCAGTCAGTAATTGTCTAAAATAATTTTATGCATACAGTTTTAAAAAGAGAAAAAAAAGAAAATAAAATGGTGAAAATAACTGATGACATTGAATATTTGCTGCTTTTTTTAACTGCTTTGTAATTCAGTTAAATTTTGGAAAAAAAAAATTGTCATTTTATATCGGTATAAAAAGCTTTTATTATAACTTATCACTTACTTATTTGCAGCAACAATTTTTCGCTGCCAACTTAAAAACTTATAAAATTTGATTCTTATAAGAACAACAGAAAAAAAAAGTCTTCTATTTATTTTCAGGTATGGTTAAACGCTAAAAATGTCCCATTTTTTAACTTCAGTGTTAATCGTTGCGATGACAGTTGGAAGTTGAAGTTCACAAATGAATGCCAAAATCGAAATTTGGCTCAAAATTTCTACGAGTTTCAATCCAAGCAAAATGTGCTTTCTCACGTAAAAATTCGTTTTTTTAATGTTAGTGCTTTTCTCCTTTTTCTTCATCCTCCTCTCTTTTTCTTCTCCTTTTTTATTGTCACCCTTTTTCTGCTTTTCTTATCTATTTTTTTGTAAATGGCAAATAACAGATCACATTTTACACATATTTTATAAGAGCATACCTAGCCAAGTTATGTTAAAGTTAGTTAAAAAGGAATATTCGAAAGAAAATGAGAAAGCAGAAAATAAAGGGAAATCTTTAATGTAACCTTAGAAAGAGCAACTTCTTTCGGCTGTTTAACAGTTTTCTGACCTGAAAAAAAAGGCACTGATTTTAATCTAAAATAATAAGAATAAAAGCTTTGTTTTTCTATTGTCTTCTGACATAAATCTTTTAGGATTCAAATGGTTTTGAAATGTGTCCAATATTTGATGTTCCAGCAAAAGCTTCTGGACGCTATTACTGCTATTCCAGATACTTTAGAGACTTTTGAGTAAGGCAACAGTAAATATCGCAACAAATCCGAAGGCAGCATTCAACTACAACGCTGTATCTAATATACTGTTTCTTAGAAACGCTTTTTCACTGAGCGACTATTGTTTTTGTGTCAATAATAATTTGTTCAGTTTTTCTGTTGCTTTTTACTTTTAATTTAAGAAATTATACAAACTATAAATAAAACTTTTTAAGCACCAGTTATTACCCTCTTTCGTTACTATGTTTAGTTATTATAAAAGCACAACAACAACAACAACAGCAAAAAAAAAAAAAATAAAAACACTGCTTTAACCCGGTATAACAGACCACATATTTCGTTGTTACATTCATTGAACCAGTGGCTATATAAAAGAATGTGTCTGCTGTTTCGACGACATCGAACAATCAATTTTTTTCAAGTTTTATGACTATATTAGTGATAATGATTCATTGATTAAACAATGGTTTTTTTTTTGTTTTTTTGGTATTATTGTCGTTTGTTTGCTTAAATGTTTTCTACTAGAGACTATTTAAAAATTTACTTCACTTTCGGTTTGTTTTTTAAATTTTACAAAAAAGGAAAGAAGAAAACGATAAAAAAGCAGTTTTGTAGACTGTACCAAACGTTTAGTTGCTTTGTTTCAAATGCTAAGTTATTTGTGTTTCGTTTTATCCTGTTTTCTACCGGTATTTTTTCGGTGGTCTATACAGGAAGGTGGGCACGGAAAAGGGTTGATGAGGAAGAGGGAAAACAGAGCGGTAATAGCAGTTTTATCGACTATTACAAATAGGTACCAAAAATCAATGTTACGGAAGAATGAAAAGATTGAACAAAAAAGCGTATAATAGAGATGCCAATTAAACTGTAGAAGACTTTGAATACATTCAATTTTTCTCTCTATTTATTCTTTATTTGTCTAGCAGATAATTCCAAAAAAAAAGCAAAAAACCAGATTACAAGTAAAGTGTAATAAGAGTGGAAATTATACAATCATTTATTTCCAAATTTTTATCAACTACTAAAATTGTCAGATGAAATTAGTCGTTGAACGGTATTAAAAATATATTCTGTCTTCGTTCTGCGACATAAAAATTCTTTTTATTTTTGTCTTGTTTTTTACCTTTTTTTTTTCCAAATTAATACCAATTAAGCACTGTAAATATCACTGATATATAAGTAAAAGCAAATTTGTTTCTGAATAATTGACTCAAGCAAAATTACCTTCAATTAAGCACCATTCATTACGATTTTTTTTTTTGACTAAAACTGCAGCTTGCAGTAATCTTCTTAGCTGTACAGTTGTCAAACATATTGATATTAAAATAAAATAGATAATGATGAGTAATCGAATGATACTGTTCAAAGTACTGGTAACATTTTTTGGGCTTTTTTTT